CCCAGCACCACCAGGGTCCAGGGGGTGACTGGGGCACAGTTGTTCCCCTGGAACCACCAGATCCCATGGGGCAGTTGGGGGAGGCAGCACTTCCTCCAGCTCCCCAGCCTGGCCTGGGGCACAAACCCCACACAAAGGCCCACTGAAATGCTGCACTGCCCCATACAATCACCTCTTCTTTCTCCCGCAGCCCCTGGGGCCTCATGACCCCAGTTCCGGTCTGAGGGGGCCCCAGAGCTGCTGGCCTCCCCCCTGATGGTAGCCCACAATAGGGTTGCACATGGGGATGCAGAGCGGAGCCAGCAGACACTTGCTGCCCCATGCCCAGGGCTGGTGAGGGCTAGGGCTCTGCTGGCCTATGTGCCTAGGCCGAGGTGCAGCAAGGCTCAGCGCCCACGGGGCTGAGCACCATCTGGCATGGCTGTCCCACCATCTGCCCTCACTGCGGGGCAGCGTGACTCCTGGCCCTGGCCCCATCTCTTCTCGCCCAGCTGGGAAGGGGCAATCGCACCTAGCTGCTCTCACCTCCTGCCTTCTCTTGCCTGCAGTAATCAGACCCAGGCGGAAAGGGGCTTAACCCCATACTCACCAAGGCAGCATGAGCCCGAGTGATTGCCCAGCACAGGGGGAATGCCACTGCCTGTCCTGCCTAGCCCAGCACGCAGGAAGCCCTGTTCCCCCACCTGGAAACACCACCCCACCCAGTGTCAAGACTGTGGGTCCAAAGCCCCTCTCTACCAGCCCCTGGCCTGCTCACCGGGGCACTGCTGTATCGCAGGTCACACCAAGTGGGCCTCTGGGGAGCGTGCTCCCACTGTGGCTGAACGGCAGGACACGAAATGTCATGCTGGGATGCCCTGCTGTGGGACACGGAGGAGCCAGGAGCTGCTATGGGATGATGCAGGGATGCTGGGCAAGCAAAGGGACCAGAGGGCACAAGGACACAGAGGAGCATCCCCCACCAAAGGACACTGCTGACATGGGGAGCCCAGAGCCAACTGCTGTCAAGACGGCGCAAGGCCCGCTGGCCCTACGCCAATGGCCCTGCGGCACATCCCCAACACCTAGGCTGCCCTATCCTCAGCGGGCTCATCCCCACGGGGCAGCTGCCCCAGTGCCATGCCACGGGGCTGGGGCAGCACCCCGTGGTGCAGTGGTGTGGGGCGCAGGCGCAGCAAGGCAGTGGCAGAGCCAGGCAGCCCAAGTCCTTGCCAGAGACGGAGTGGAGGCATTGAAGGCGTCTCCCCTCCCCCTCTTCCTGCCCCCGGCCCTGGGCCCCCCGGGCCAATCTGGTTCCAATCGGCGCTTCCTGCCGCACAGGAAGGGCTGCCTCGCACGCCATAAACCCCCAGACACAGAGGCCCCT